GTATCGGAGGCATTTCCGATACTAGTATCGGAATCGGAACAACTCTATGGATATGTAACCAATACTAAACCTAAACATATGGTCAATACATTCACTGCATTACAGTGCATTACATATACTAGTGCAATGCCCGTGCAAAATCAGTTTTTGTGTGTTTTTAGTAATTGTTGGTTTGGTATGTTTGAGTTGCTGGCTAGGCTACTATTACACAGGAGCCTAAACTCTGAGAAAACGATAACGTTAAGCGTTTCAAAAAGAATCGCTACTTTTTCAAAAAGAATCGCTACTTTTTCAAAAAGAATCGCTACTTTTTCACACAAAAATCGCTACTTTTTTCAAAAAGAATAATGTAACAAAATAATAATGTAACAAATGCATAATAATAATGTAACAAATGTATAATAACACTGTAATAAATGTATAATTGCATTGTAATAAACGTATAATAACACTAATGTATAATAACACTGTAATGTATAATTACATTGTAATAAACGTATAATTACATTGTAAGAAATCTATAATAACACTGTAATAAATGTATAATTAGAAGTAAACAGTGTAGCTGACTTAATGTTTAGCTGACAGAATGTTTATTTTTAAACCACAACCCTCTCTAATGTCTGAATGTTTATTTTTAAACCACAACCTCAATGTGTGCTTCTTTTACGGATATATTTAACGATATCTTTTGCATTTCTAATCCAAACAATGTCAAACTCGGCACTGCACTTACTCGTGCCCGTAGCAAGACACCTGTCAGGTTTGAGATCCATCGGACTAACGGTTCGAGAGATTTTCGATTTAACAGACAGACACAGACAGACGATCCTGTAATTTATAGATAGATGGATAATCACATATGTTTAAAGAGCTTTCGAGCCTTGAGTTTCAAAAAACCCTTTGGGGTCCCACACAAAAAACATTTCAGCCATATCAGACAAGAAATCTGTGGGCTGAGTTTTCCCTCATGATTATTGACTGAAATTTGTTAAAGATATTTCCAGTTGCAGATGTTTGAATGGAAGGATTCCCTGAGGACTTTTGAAATTGTTGTTTTTTGTACTTTGGACTTTTTATCGTTCATACATGATTGATTTGTAATGCGTTTTATACCTTGTTGGTGTTTTTGAAGTGTTTGTGTATTTTATTAAAAGTATATCAACTTTTTCCTACGTAGGCCTGTCTTGTTTTATATTTTAGTGATGTCACCACGTATTACCGGTACTTCATCACAAATGTCTTGCATACATATAAAAGCTGAGCATTCACTGCATTAACTGTAACTTTATTTCTGATGTCCCACCATCGCTGCTGAGCTGTTGATGCTCACTAGAGACAATTATTTCCTCCAGATGGATGCTACGTTATATGTAAATGCTGGCTTTTTTTAAATATCATACTACACTTTCTGTTTTTGCAGTTTTTATGTACTGAGCACAGTATGCAAGTTTTAAGTGTGCATGAAACACATTGTTTTTCATGTAGTTATATTGCATGCTGTAACTTTCAAATGGATGTTGCGTGTTGCAGATAACTGAGAAAGAATCAGATGATAAAGTGCTCTGATAAACAGTGTCAGCTTTGCACAAAAGGTGTTTTTTTTTATATATTTATTATTATTTACATAGTCTTACACTTAATTTGGGAAATAGGGTTCCATCTGTGAAATATGTTGTGTAATCAAAATGAATTTCAATACAAATATGTTAAAAGTCACACATCATTGCTTGTATTTCGCATTTTATATTTGTGTGTGTGCATGCGTGTGTGTGTGTGTGTGTGTGTGTGTGTGTGTGTGTGTGTGTGTGTTGCTTCCAAGACATAAAATAATCGGATAACCCCATTTAACTTGATGGTTAAGTGTGACTGGTTGAAGATTGTTACAAAATGTTTGTTCACTATGTGTTTCGTGTGTGTGTTAACAAATAGAAATCAGCTTCTTTCTTTGGGTGTAAAAAAGGCACAATATGCAATGCTCTATTTGCCCGTGGTTATAATTTATTTCAAAGTAAAAATCCCAAATAAAGAAGACCATCACCCAGGGTTACATGTAGCTGATCTTTTTCTAGATTATTTTCAACTACAGGTAGAATAGTTTAAATGGAACTTAGTTGGGCCAAAAGCATCTGATGAAACCCTGTTTTATGGCCTGCCATGATCGTTGGAAGAAGGCCATGATGAAGGCCATGATGAAGGCCATGACGAAGGCCATGACGAAGGCCATGATGAAGGCCATGATGAAGGCCATGATGAAGGCCATGATGAAGGCCATGATGAAGGCCATGACGAAGGCCATGACGAAGGCCATGATGAAGGCCATGATGAAGGCCATGATGAAGGCCATGATGAAGGCCATGATGAAGGCCATGATGAAGGCCATGACGAAGGCCATGATGAAGGCCATGATGAAGGCCATGATGAAGGCCATGACGAAGGCCATGATGAAGGCCATGATGAAGGCCATGACGAAGGCCATGACGAAGGCCATGATGAAGGCCATGATGAAGGCCATGATGAAGGCCATGACGAAGGCCATGATGAAGGCCATGATGAAGGCCATGATGAAGGCCATGATGAAGGCCATGATGAAGGCCATGACGAAGGCCATGATGAAGGCCATGATGAAGGCCATGATGAAGGCCATGATGAAGGCCATGATGAAGGCCATGATGAAGGCCATGACGAAGGCCATGACGAAGGCCATGACGAAGGCCATGATGAAGGCCATGATGAAGGCCATGATGAAGGCCATGATGAAGGCCATGACGAAGGCCATGATGAAGGCCATGATGAAGGCCATGACGAAGGCCATGATGAAGGCCATGATGAAGGCCATGATGAAGGCCATGACGAAGGCCATGATGAAGGCCATGACGAAGGCCATGACGAAGGCCATGACGAAGGCCATGATGAAGGCCATGATGAAGGCCATGATGAAGGCCATGACGAAGGCCATGATGAAGGCCATGACGAAGGCCATGATG